AAATTGGTGGATTTCCGAAGTATGTATGGTGGCAGACCATTTCTTATACTCACGGCAACAGCAACAAATGATATTGTTAATAGGATTTTAGTGCATTTGCACTTTAAAAGATCAGCCATGGAGGTTGTCGCAGTTGTGCCTGATAGGAAATAAATTAAAAACATGTCCAATTATCATTTTCATCATCATATTATTACTATCATCATTTTATTACTATTGTAGACCAAACATATTTTTGGAGTATGTCAATGGTGGAAAAGAAATAGAAATTGAAATGAACCATTACATAAAACAACTAAAAGATAAAAGAGTCAAGGCTGACAAAACAATAATTTATGTCAGGTAAATATAAATAAATAAATAAATAAATAAATAAATAAATAAATAAATAAATAAATAAATAAATAAATAAATAAATAAACAAATAAATAAACAAATAAATAAATAAATATTGTGTGTATATATATGTCTATATAATTGTATAATAATAATTTTTCTCCACAGGTCCATTGCCCAATGTGGTGCAGTGTATGCTGCTTTGTGTAATGTAGTCGGGAGCGATAACTTTGTGCAGGGAAAGAGATTAATTGAAATGTTTCATGCAGGATTAGTTGATGAAGACAAAGAGAGAATCGTGAAAGAATTTGTGAAGGTTGATAGTGTCATAAGATGTGTGATAGCAACTGTGGCATTTGGTATGGGTGTGGATGTTAGTGATGTGAGATGTGTGATTCATTGGGGTGTGTGTACGAGTGTGTTAGAGTATTGGCAAGAGGTTGGGAGAGCTGGGAGAGATGGAGTTTTCTAGAGGGGTGATGTATAACAGTGGTCGTAGTTTGCTGTATAAATGTGAGGATGATATGAAAGAATTGTGTAAAAATGTGTGTGGAGAGAATGCACTGTGTATAAGGGTAGCAGTTTTGAATACATTGTTTGTGGATGGGATGGATACAAGTTATTTGGCAGCTTTGAAGAGTAGGGAGACGTGTATGTGTGAGCTTGGAAGTGAGTGTAAGTGTGTAATGTGTGTGTGTTGTTTTGTGTGCAAGGGTAGGTGTGCATGTAGGATAGGCAGTAGATAAGCATTCATTATTTTTTCATTCATTCTCATTATTTTTTCACTCACTCATTCACTCATTCGTTTTTCATTCATTCATTCATTCTGTTTTCAATTATTCTCTCATTATTTGTTCATTCATTCATTCACTCACTCATTTTTCTTTCATTCATTCATTATTTTTTTTCATTCATTCATTCATTCATTCACTCACTCACCTGCTCACTCACTCACTCACTCACTCATTCATCATTCATTCATTCATTCTGTTAAGTAATACATTTGTATTGGATTTGTAAATTTAATTTATTAAGTAACTTAGGGGGTCCTTTAATTTCTCTTTTATGTTGTGTCATCATGGCATGCATAAATTGTGGTTTGGCTCTGAAAAAAAATGAAAAATTCAGTATAAAACGTCAACTAAAACATTCCAAAGGTTCTGTTGTTGAGGCACTTGAAAAACTGATCAAATGTGAACTGACTCCATCCAAGCCATCTTTGGAGGAAGACAGGTATATGTGTGGTAAATGTTATGTGAGTCTGAGTAAGTCCTACCGACAATCACTGGAAAGTCATGCATCAACACAATTATTTGAGAAGAGAAAGAAAGAGGGTACATACATTTCAAAGAAGAGGAAAAGAATAACATTATCCTCACCAATTAAAAGAACAACAACTAAAAGCCCTAGTCTAAAGAGGGTTAAGGCACAGAGGGTGAGTGGATTCTGCCATTTCATTATAATGTTTATAAATTATGAATATTTTTAATAAGGGGTCGTCCATTAAAAAAATGTTTTTTTCCAGTGTTGATTTTTTTCTGTGTAGGATTTATTTTTTATTTCAAATGGTGAACTCTTCTTATTTACAACATTGTGTTGTGGAATACTTTTTTAGTTGCATATTAAAGGGGAATGTTTTTAATTGGATTTACCTTGAAGTAAATATGGCCAAGAGACAACATTTACAATAGAAAACAAAAGACCGCCACTCACAGGCAAATAATCATCAAAGGCAATCAATTTGTATTTAAAAATGATTGTATTTTATAATTGTTCAGTTTATTTTGGAAAAAATTGGAATTGTTTGTTGTATACAAGTATACATAAAAATTTGTGAGAAATTAGGTAGATTTTATACAAATCTATTTCGTGAAAAGTGACAAAAGTTGACAATGGCAGTGAAAGGTTAACCTTTATGTAAATATATACTTAACTACAGTAATTAAAGATTCTTCGTGATATGAATGGCGAGAACCCCAGTAATAATAATGGGAATGTTCAACCTGGTGATTGGTTGGTTTACTTTAAGAACCTACAATGTACTTAATACTGATAGCAGTACATCAAACTCTGAGATTGCGAATGAACTGGAGAATAGTGAAAAGAGTGCAAGTAGCAACCCCTATTTAGACAGACCAATCTTAAAAAATGAAATAACTAAAGCCATTAGACTTCTTAAAAGTAACAAGGCTTCGGCAGAAGATAGAATTTGCAATGAATTGTTAAAATACGGTGAACATCACTTATTAGATGCAATACATAAACTCTTTAATATTGTTTATAGTTCAAATAACTATCCACATTCTTGGAGCACTGGCCTGTTGGTACCAATCCACAAATCTGGGTCGAAAAATAACCCGGCCAACTACAGGGGAATTGCCATCTCTAGCTGTCTTGGCAAGTTATTCAATAGTATTCTAAATATTAGGCTGACATCATTTTTAGACTCTAATAACATTCTTTCCGGTCGACAGTTCGGATTCGCATGATTGTCGAACTACAGACAATCTTTTCATACTAAAAACCCTGGTAAATAAATATCTCTACAGTGGTAAGTCAGAGTGCGCCAATAAACAAAATAACACAAATATTAAAAAATCAAAAAAATTATATGCCTGCTTTATTGACCTTAGAAAGGCCTTTGACAGTGTCTGGCATGATGGTCTATTCAAAAAATTAATCAAATATGGTATAACTGGAAAAATGTATAAAACTATCAAAAACATGTACAGTAAAGTAAAATATAAAGTTAGGTGTAAAGAGGGCTTAACCACAGTCCCTCTATCACCGGTCTCGAAACGGCCGCTGTCCTATTGTCCTATTGCGCGTAGCGGGTAAATAAACCATTGACACCTATACGTAATCCGCAGTTGACGCAACTTGTCAGGGGTCATCTTCAAGTTGACCCGCATATCATTACCATTAATGATTTACCCGACATGCTTTGCGAAAAAAAATTGTGCGGTTGCGCAGAAGTTTTCAGAACCAGAATCAAAACATTGGAAGTCGATTTTGAGCAGCATGT